TAAGAACCAAGATGCATTATGTAAAGGTACAATTCCCAATGAGAAATGTAATTGTGTTGTATACCTACAGTGTACCAATAAAAGAATTTAATACATTTAAAAAAAAATAACCCACACTAATGGAGCTGGTACTGCTAGAGGAAGACCCAGTTCCCTGGGTGAAGAAAGGATCTGGCCCTGTAGAGGTAGCAACAGCAGAAGGCAGGAGCAAGAGTTAGTCTTCAGAGTATGGGAGGAAGGAGGAGGTAAGAACAAGTTCAACCTTGGACAAAGGACTCCACCCAGATAGATGCCAAATGACTTCCCCAGAACCCTATCTTCATCTTGGGGCCATGCAGCCTGAGGATAAACTGTGCCAATGCCCTTCATGGCACAATCATAGGATGGGAGGGCATCACCATACTCTTGAGGCCTGGATCTTCTGCTTGTATTTTCATGTCTTGCACATCTGTGATCCACTGCCACTCTATACTTGGGTCAACACATATTCCTTCTACTCACAGCATCCAGGGCTTGGACCTCTGGTGGCCACTGGCACTGTCCTCCACTGAGCAAGGAACTGCCATGACTCAGCTGTTCTAAGAGTCTGATGGCCAAAACATTGTTCCAACACTCTTGACACATTTTGTACACCCACTCTTGATTCAGCAGCACCTCAGGATGCTGACAGAGCCAAGCTGGAGGGCATGGTTACAACGTGGGAGGACACATATGGCTTTTTCATAGAGTCTCAACTGCCTTCATTGAAGGAACCTGGTTCCCTGATATTTCCGTCTTTCATTTCCAACTTTCCCCTAGAAGAAGTGGGGTGGGACCAATGCTAGAGGAAGGAAGGTTAGGTGGGGCAAAGCCAGTCATCCAGTCTTCTAAGTCAGTATATCTGTCCTTCCAAGAGGAACTTTGAAGGGAAGTGCTCTACATTATTGGCAGATTTCTTCCTCCAAAGTAGGGGCAAGATGTAGATAGTTCAGTCCACAATGCAGTGGTCCTGATGGGCAATGCCATTAGTACTCAACAGCAAGGAGGAAGACTTGGAAAGCAGAAAGCTCGAGCATGTCTGAGCTAGCCTGCATTACCCTTCCCTTTGGATAAATATGATTGTCGCCACCCAGCAGTCTTGCTCATGGTCAGTGTGTGTGGACTAGGCACCCACAAAACAAGAATCTTCTGTCCTACATCTGAGAATGACAGACAGGAGGATGAATGGACATTTTAAATTTAATCCATAATGACCATCTCATATTCCAGAACTCCACCCAGGACTGCCCACCTCAAGAAGCACCTAGAGCATGTCAGGCACTGAACCTGGAGCTGCAGGTGAAACAAGATATGGTCCTGATTGGAAAGGACTTATAATCTAGTATGGTTAGAAGCTCAGTACAATTTAGTATGCTTAATGTTACTATAGAATTAAATTTTGATTAATGTCAGGTATTCTTTGTAAGTACAACAATGCATAAACACTAGATTTCTAAAAAATAAAAGAAGAAAAATGAATCAGTACATTTATAGGAATACAAAGCCTCTTTGGGAGGCATTGATGTGTACCGTGTACCTGAACAATATGTCAACCAATAACTAAAATAAGTCTTGAAAGTTGGATGCCCACATGCAATGAACAGATTCAACTGATACTTTTTAGTTAGGTACTATGTGACAGACTCAGTGTTAGGAAAATGAGTCAAGAGGGGAAGACAGACATGTAGAAGCTCATTTTGTTTTTGTTCTCTTGACTTTGGGCAAGTGACCTGTCTTTCTGAACCTCAGTCTTCTCATCTACAAAATTAGGTTAGAAAATAACATGAATTTCACAAGGTCATTTTGAATATTAGGTGAGTTCATTTGCAGATGACTTATAGATAATTTGATTAATGATACACATTTTATTTGAAGAGTGCCTAACACAGTAGCTGGATCTTTGTAGATAGTTTACCATTTCAGCAATTCTTTAGCCCCTCTACTATAAAAGGGGAATCTGAGGCTCCAAGCAGGACACCACGTGCCCAGAAGATAAATTAAAAACAAAACAATAGGTTGTAGAAGCACACGAGTCTTGATTAAGAGTAGAGAGTATTTCTGCATATGGAGTCTGAAACAGAATCCGGAAGAAAGGTTTAAACCTACTTCACAAACACTGCTTATAAACTTTTATCTGGAGACTTGAAGCAAAGTTTTCAGTACACGGACAGCTGGTTTTCCCACAGGTGCCTGATATCTTCATTGTGGTCCATATTCTCTTCTTAGCTTCTCTTCATAAGAGCTGGTTAAACTTTAAAGAATAGGACTTTTACAGGTATCTCGATTCACATGTTTTTCATCACTTTTGTAACTGACAGTTGAAAAGTGAGAGAGGAAATAATTATCTTGAAATGTTCTCCTAGAATTTTCCCAGTGGTGCCACAGCCTCACTCCTAAAGTGGAAGTAGTGGTTGTTCCTTCAAACCATGTCTCTTCTCCAGCATAGCAGAACCCAAGGACTTCCCTGGGTGCGGAGTGTCATGATGATTTCACTCCTTGATATTTCTTTTGTGTCTATCACATGACAGTCTATCAACTAGATGCAGCTTTTCATCTAGTTGAGAAAAATCCTCAACTAAAATCCTGGGAAAATCATTCATCAGAAGACGAATAATCTCTTTTTTCTGATTTTTCTCCTGTTACTAAAATACCTACATAACTCTATTAAAAAAACAATGCTTACCATAAACATTAGTTTTACCATTTTGTTCCTGCTTTCTGCAGTACTGGAGACTGAACCCTGGCCCTTGCACTGAGTTATGTACCAAGTCCCTTTTATATTTTTTAAATTTTGGGACAAGGTCTCACTAAGTTGTCCAGCTGGGCCTGAACTTGCAGTGCTCCTGCCTCAGCTCCTCAAGAGTGCTGGGATTAGGCTGGGGATTTAGCTCAGTGGTTTCACCGCCTGCTGCACAAGCACAAGGACCCAAGTTCTATCCCTGGTACCAAAAAAAAAAACAACAAAAAAAAAGAGTGCTGGGATTACAGGTGTGCGGCGTCCCACCCAGTGAGCCAAAGTTTTAGAAAAATAATCTCAGTATAATTTTACTACTCATAATCTGAATTTGACTTGCATTTCTTTTCTTTCTTTTTTCTTCAACAGAATACTACAACTTTCCATGTGACTGTCCAAGATGATAATAACATCGTTGTCTCTTTGGACACTTCAGATGTTGCCAGTCCTGCATCTGTGTATGTCGTTAAGATAACTGGTGAATCTAAAAATTATTTCTTCGAATTCGAGGAATTCAACAGCACTTTGCCTCCTCCTGTTACCTTTAAAGCCAGTTATCATGGCCTTTATTATATAATCACTCTTGTAGTGGTAAATGGAAATGTGGTCACCAAACCATCCAGATCCATCACCGTGTTAACAAGTAAGCACCGTGTGTGACACTGTGCTCTGCTCCTTCTCTGAATGTGTTCTCCTGGGGTCTCTCATTAGAAGACCATCCCAGAACCCAAATCACTTGCCTTGAAATCAAGTGATATATATTCAAAGTTCTGCAATGTATCAAGAATACAGCTTCTTACCAGAGTTTGGTTATGTTGTCTGTTTAGCTGTTAAAATGTTTTAAACCAAAAACGTCAACCTCATTGAGGTAACGAACTTTGAGACTGAATAACAGTTTCAGATTAATGATTGGGCTGTGTGATTCTCAGCTATTTCACTTAATAGCATGATCATGACTTGTCTGGTTTTCACCAGCATATATATTCTCATATTAAGCAATTTGGGTTTTGAGATAATGAATTTATCATCATATGTAGCCTATTCAAATTTAACTGTATGTTCAAAACTGAGAGAAAGATAAAAAGATATGTTTATCAGCCATTACTGCCCATCTCAGCTTCAAAATTGCTCTGACTTTACCCAAGAAAATAAATACACAGGCATTTTATCTTTCAGTCTTAAAGAGTTAATGCTGGTGTTAGGAAGTCTTTAGGTATATTTCTAACTATAGCTGATTTTTACTCTACTCTCTAACTTTAACATCTAATCTCAAGTGAAATGCAGTGCTTCTGTGTATGTTGCAGAATGTAAGAAAACTCGATATCTGCATGACACAGTTTATCAGTAGAGCAATTTAATGGCTCAGCAAAGTTCTTCTTACTCATATTCTTTGGGAGAAGCTTTCCAGTGGCTATAACCAATAAAAAGCCAGGTGGATGGGATCATTGTGGCCACGATTAAGAAAAAGGGCATGGTGATAGTGTCTATTGAGTTAAATGGAGAAAGAAACAAGAAGCAAGTACTCAGAACCAAGCTAGAGGACATATTCTTACCATGACTGTCAAAAGAATGAAGTACAGTCTCCACTGACAGAGTCCAAGGATTAACAATGAGTCCTAAAAATTAACAATGGCACCAGACTCAAGACCTTCAAAATTTATAGACATAATATCTAGGAACTAGTTGAATTAAAAGATCTCACCTGGGCCGGGTATTTAGCTCAATGGTTCTGTCACCTGCCTTGCAAGTGCAAGGTCCCAAATTCGATCCCCGCTACCAAAAAAAAAAAAGAGTTAGATTCAGGCAATAGGTCTAAACATATAATGCTTACAATATAAACTCTTTGAAATCAAAAGCTCTGGTTCATTTTCATAATTTCATAAGTATCAACCCCAAGTATTATGGTTAATAGTTCTAGTTAATTGAGCAAAAAGACCAGGAAAAAAATACCAAAACATAAAGCAAAGTAAAATATAGAACTGTAATGACTGTTGCTGACCCAACATTTATTAATTTGCCCTGGGCCACTCCTAATCAGACACAGCTGGAACAGGCAGCCCTGTAACCGATGGTTCTTAAGGAAATCTGCTAAGTAAATGCTGAAAGCTTTCTGGACTACCTCACGGATATTTTAACATTTCCAGTGAGCTATGTTCAAAATATCTACTATTTTCTCCTATGAACTCTTCTTTCACCTCTGGGCTTAGAAGTGTGTTGAGTGTCCAAAACTTTGGAAATTTTTAGGAGGTCTTTTCTTTTTATGGATTTCTAGGTAAATGCTGCTGTGATTGTGGAATATATTTCTTATGATCTCAAGTTCTTGAAAATGATTAAGATTTTTTTATGAGCCCAAGTCAGGTCTATCTTGCTATTTATTCTGTGAGCACCTATTGGGTGAAGGTTCAGTAAATAGTAGGTCAAGTCTGTTGCTTTAATTTCAATTTATTCTTACTGATTTTCTTTGTATTTGTTCTGTTAAGAACTGTTAGAGGAGTATAAAATCCTCCACCTATGACTGTAGGTTTGTTTATATCGCCATTCTTTTCTTTTAGTTTATTCTTTGCATGCTTTGAAGCTCCGTTGTTATGCTGCTGGCTGCAAACACTCTTAAGATTTGCAATGTTTTGTTAATGAACTGACCCTTCACCCACTTGTGATGTTCCTTCTTATCCTATTAAGCCTTGTGCTGAAGTCTTTCTTGTCTGATATTAATATGTCAATTTTGGTTTTCTTTTGGTATATATTTACATAGAATATTTGTCCCATCTTTCAACTTTCAATTTCCTTATGCCTTCACATGTAGCTATACTTTCTATAGACAGCATAGAGCTTGATCTTGCTTTTTTTCCTGCCTTTTGAATGTTAACAGCTATACTATCCAATAAAAGTTCACTATTAACCACATTCTATAATATTAAATTTCTTGAAAGAAACAGTAAAAAATATTTGACACAGTGAAAATTAATAGCATGGCTAATCCATTTCATTCAAAACTTATTTCAACATATAATTGATACCAACATTTATGTTACTTTTTACTTTTGAACATAAGCTAATTAAAATTAAATAAAATTTAAAATTCAATCCTTTAGCTTTATTAGCCTCAGTTTTAAGTGCTCAATAGCCATATGTAGTTCATGACTGTCAATTTAGTGAGGTGGAGCCCATTTATACAGAAGTATGATAAAAATACATTGAATTTTTAAATTAAAAAATGTATCACACTGAAAAACACATTGGCATGAATCCCCTTCAAAATATGCCCCTCACTTAGAACTCACTTATCCATCCCATCATTTCTGCCACTTTCTGAGACAGTTCTGGAAGTCCTCTTTTGTGTCTTTACTTGCATTGTGGTTGCCTGAGTGCCCTGAATCAATTCGAAATGTCTAGCTTTCATGGTCTCCTTGACCTTGGGGAAGAGTCCGGGGAAGTCACATGGCACCAGATCCGGTGAATGAGGTCATGATGACACACCATACTTTTAGGACCCTGCCTTCCCCTTGGATGGCATGTGGTGGCAACATTCACCAAACTTTTGAGCACATCTCATATAGACACTCATGAAAGAGGACTTCCGGAAGTGACTGCTTCATAAAGAGTCAGAAATGATGGTTTAAGTATGTTCGTAGCAAAGGGAGTATTTAGGGAGGGGGCCTGTTAATGGCAATGTGTCTTTTACTGTAATAATTTTGTTAATTATACATTTACCATATATTTTGATCATGCCCCATATAATATAATTATATCATTGAATTTAAATTTACCATTTTGCTAGACCATTTGTTGGGGATATGAGCTGGATTTATGGTGTTAGACACCTTTGTTCCATCACAGATTCAGTTCCACTCTCAGGGTTCAGGCCTCCTCAGCAACAGACTGCTGCTGCTTTCTACAGTGTCAAGGTTTGGGGGGGGGGAACATGGAGGGTCCTGGTTGTCCTGGCTCAGCACCAGTCTTAAGCAGACCCTGTCGTCCTAGGTGGGGCATTCTTAACATTCCCACCCCTGGCCATTGATGGCCACATCCTACTTTCAATCTCTGGCTCAGAGAGTCTCTTGCCTTTTTTCTCCAGTGGTAGCAGCACTCTACTTTGTATCAGTGTAGGATCCTGCCCCTCTCACAGGGATCTTTTATTTCTCTCCGTCTCTCAAGGTGAGAGAGGGGGTGGTCCCAAGAATTGGGAAGGAAAGATTTTTCTACTTTGGGCTTCTGCTTTGTATTTAAGAACAAGGTGGGAAAGTAACTTTCCTTGCTGGTCTCTTGGTAGATTAGCTCCAATTCTCATCTGCAACCCAGTGTCCCTAAGAGGGAATTTGGCCCACTACCCAGCCTTCAGTAGTTCTCTTGAGCACCTAGTGGAGACCCAGGAAAGGACCTAGAGGACATTGACCTTGTCTTTGTCTAGGTCTCCCAATAATTCTAGACCAACCCTCTCCCATCAGTTTCAGATGAAGCAAACATTCTGTATCTGCATTGTCCAGTACAGTAGCCACCAATTTTAATTTAATCTCAAATCATTTTTTTATTTGATATAAACAGCTACATGTAGCTAGTAGCTTCCATATTGGACAGAGTAGTTTTAAACTGTCATTTAGACCACACTCCCCCTTCTTGAATTCATTATCATCTTGGCTGCTTTCTCCTTACCTGCTTTCACAGCCACCTCCTCTTTCTGGCACGCTGTGCACAGATGAAACGGTGTCCTCCCTTCCAAGGAGCTTGTCTCTCCTGGAATTTCTTTCAGCTGATGGCTTTATGATCTCACCTTTCCAATGAACATAAGAGAACTCGCTTATGATTTCCTCAAATATGTGGCTTTTTCTTGTTGGAGGTGAAGCTGACAGGGAAGATGTGATGCTATATGAAAGCTTTTTGCATCTTAGGGGAAGAGAAAACTTACACACTGATTTCTAAAGAATAAAATTAATTAGTGACAGTCTGGTGTATCTCATCCTCTATCCCATTTTTAAGGGCTCAAGTACATTATCCCACATTTCAGAAATAATAATAGGTTGAGAATATAAAATCTGAAGATCCAAAAATATTTCTGACATTAGACATGAGATAGCATCAAGTGACATTCGAGTTCCAGCACCTCCTTTAAAAGGAATCAAAGAACACGATAACTGATTAATTTTGAGTCTCAAAACTACCTGAATTTTTCAGTTAGTGGTATATCTTTTCTATCTTTATTTTTCTAGTGGAAAGGTGTTTTTTTTTTTTTAAAGCAAGCAAGCGTTCCTTGCAGTCATTGACTGTCAAATGCTCCTGTTGACAAAATAAGCAATGACAAAGCAGGTGGCCCAGGGGCTGTCCTTTGATTTTTCCCCTGTCATGTTCAGAGCCTGGCACCTCCACAGAAAACTGAGAAACACAGTAAAGAATAAATTCAGCACAACAGAGTCCTTTGGCCAGTTCAAAAGAATTTCACAACCCTCTGACATCTGATTAATATTTAATTGACTGAGAGCCTTCAGTATAATGTGTACTCTTCAGAGGGAACGAGTACTTTCTCTGTAGAGAAAATAATACCTAAGAACGATGGCTTAGAAATTAGGGAAGTGTAACATATACATTGCTCTCTCCATGTCAGTAAACACAGCAGAACACACATGGAGACAAATAACTACAAATATATTG